GAATCTACTGCTTTCCAAAGGGTTGTTGATGCTTGGTTGGTTCGGTCAAGGGTGCATCATGTCTTGTGTTGGTTTGTGGCTCTTCGCCATTATTTGCGCACCATGGCCTCTTTGGGGGAAGACGTGCTTTCGGTTGACCCAGTTTCCTTTCTTTATTCCAGGGCGTGGGTCTCCCAGGTTGTCCGCAGGATTATTCGGTCCAGTCAACCTGCGGTCTGTCCCCGTGCCCACGCTGCTCGTAAGTTCGGCGTTCGGTTGCTGTTTTGGTAATTTGTCCTAGCCTATCTTTCAGGTATGGGGCTTTTGGAGGTCGAACTGGGTCCTGGCTGCACGTTTCCTTGTTAATGTTCATAGTCCTTCTCGGACGTGTATAGCCTTGGGTCGCAGGTTGCGGCCAGTAGTCTCGACTTTGAGGTGAGGAGCAAGTGACGACAGCCTCCCGGGTGAGTCCCCTTTTCTTCTTATCTTTGGTTAGGTAGCTCCATGGAGCCGAAGGGGGGCTCCACAGAATACCAGCGTTGAATGTAATGAAACACCATTTTCTGGGTGAGACCCGGAGGCTCCCTGGCATCCCTCTCTCGGTCTGGGATCCCCCCCCCCCAGTCCTCCTCCCAGGGATGTGGGGGGGTTGCGCAGACAGATGTGCGGCGGTTATGGGATGACGTCATGTTTGTTTCCTTGTTTTTGATTGGGGAGTTCTGTTTGCTAGTTCGGCTTTCGGTTTGCAATTTTTTACCAGCAGTAGTTTGTTTTAAAATTCCTACCTTTCTGGGTGCCTGACTTGGTAGATGGCAGACAAAAACTGCTTCCAATTACACGGGGGTGTCTTTAGTCCATTGCTCCTCGTGCCTCTTTTGAGGGAGCCAGGTTTTGGCTCTGGTCCCTGGTAGGCTTAGAACTCCTTCGATTGACTGTTGCCACGGTCTAATATATACACATCAGCCTGGTATACCTCCGGGCAGCCTCCGGGGTCTCGCCCAGAAAATGGTGTTCCATTACATTCAACGCTGTTTTCTGTGGGGAGCCTCTACGGCTCCCTAGAGCTTATCGGGCTAATGTATGTTATGTTAGACCGGGACATTAGCTATGGAGTTCAGACCTACCAGGGACCAGCGCCAGAACCTGGCCCCTTTAGAGAGGTTTCAGGGAGCAATGGCCCTGGAAAACCCCATATGGTTGGGGGTTTTCCTTATCTGCCATCGACCGGGGTTAGGCACTCAGAAAGGTAGGCGTAACAAAACAAACCCCACATGGTAAGAAACTACAACAAAAACTGAACAGAGGGGTAGAAAACTCCCTACAATCCCAAGGAAAACAATCAAACAATCAATTTACTGCCGCGCCGGTCGTCCGCGCAGCCCTCCCCTCCCTGGGAGCTGGGAGGGGGAGCTGCCTTTAGTTCGCAAGCTAGTGTCAACTGGGATAGACGCTTCTCTGGCCTCAAATTCCTTGGCGGTGTTTGCCTCGTGTGGCGTTCTCTGCTGTTTTTGTGTGGTGTGTGGTGGCCAGGAGTACTTCATCAGTGCCGGGGCTGCATGCGCCTAGGGGCTTCCTTCCCTAGGCGCCCTGTGAGTACTGCCCTTGTGTGTCAGGGTTATCTTCTCTTAGGCGTTCGGGAACCGCTCCCGTAGAGGTTCTTGCTGCTCGGCATTTGCCTCGCCCTTGGGGCCAGCTGGGGCTTGGGGCCCTTGTTTGGCCTTGGGTAGGGAGTGGTATTGTGCTGGTTAGGGCATCAAGGTGTTGCGCAGTCTGCCACCTAAGCGGCGACTGGTTCCTGTTGCTCTGGGGACGGTGTACTTTTGCGGGGTTTTTCTTTTGTTTTGTTTCTGTTTGCCTGGTGGAGGTTCTGCCTTGTGGGCCCACAGTTCCCCTGGTATTGTTTTGGTGGCCCTCTGCTAGGCCCCCGTGCTTGTACACGTCCCAGGGGTTTTCAGTATTATCATTTACCTTCGCGTCTGGTCTTTTTGATGCGGGTGTATCACCATTTCTGTGGTGATCAGGTGGCTTCTTTGATGGTGTCCCACCTGAGAGCTTTGTCTCGACGACAGTATGAAGTTTCCTGGCGTTCTTTTCGCCATTTTCTGGCTCTTCGTAAGTTGTTTTTTCTTTCGGAACGGGTTGTTTTGTCCTTTCTTTCTTGGCTTTTTCAGGACTGTCATTTGATGCCTAATACTGTCGCCTCGTATCCTGCGTCGCTGGCGGAGCCGCTCAAGCTAGCTTTCGGGGTGGACGTCACATCCGCCCCGTTTCGTAAGCTTTCCCGTGCTATATTTCACCTCCGGCCTGCTCATGCGCCTCCTGAGCCGTCCTGGTCCTTGGACAGGGTGCTCTCCTATCTTTCCTCTCCTCGGTTTGTGGTGGCCCCTTCAGTTCCTGATTGTTTTTCCAAGGCTTTGTTTTTGTTGGCATTGGCCTCTGGGGGCCGGGTAGGGGAGCTTCATGCTCTCCTCCGGCGCAGGGGTTTCTGCTCTTTTGGTCCTGGGGGTAGGTTTGTCTGTTTGCAGCCTTCTCCATCTTTTCTGGCGAAGAATGAGATGGCTGCTTTCCGTAGGGGTCCGTGGGTCATTGATGCTTGGTTGGTTTGGCCGGGGGTGCATCATGTGTTGTGTCCAGTTGCAGCACTTCGCCGTTACCTGCACGCTTCAGCCGGGGTGGCTGAGGATGCGCTTTGGGTTGATCCGGTTTCCCTCGTTCCCTATTCCAGGGCTCGGGTCTCATTGGTTGTCCGCAGGGTTATTAAGTATAGCCAGCCTGCGGTCTATCCTCGCGCCCATGACGTTAGGAAGTTTGCCGCTTTGGCTGCCGTGTTTGGTAATATGTCTTGAGCACATATTCGGGCGCGTGGATTTTGGAAGTCGAACAGGGTCCTGGCCCCCCGTTATTTTGTGAACGTCCCTGCTCCTCGGCGTTCTTGTGTTGCTTTGGGTCGCAGGTTGCAGCCAGTTGTCTCGACTTCGCGTTGAGGAGTTTGTGGCCGTCGCCTCCCGGGTAAGTCCCCTTTTTCCTTCTCTTTGGGTATGTAGCTCCAGGGAGCCGTAGGGACTCCCCACAGAAAACCAGCATTGAATGTAATGAAACACCATTTTTCTGGGTGAGCCCCGGAGGCTCCCTGGCTACCCTCCCTTCCATCTGATCGGCGGGATTTTTCGCGTTGGTTGAAGTCTAGTTTCTGAACTCAAGGCAGCTGGCTTGGCGTGGTCTGCCGCCCCCCCCCCCCCCCCGCTCCCCCTCCCGGGTAGGAAGGGCTGCGAGGACGACCGGCGTGGCAGTAAATTGATTGTTTGATTGTTTTCCTTGGGATTGTAGGGAGTTTTCTACCTCTCTGTTCGGTTTTTGTTGTAGTTTCTTAGCATGTGGGGTTTGTTTTGTTACGCCTACCTTTCTGGGTGCCTAACCCCGGTCGATGGCAGATAAGGAAAACCCCCAACCATATGGGGTTTTCCAGGGCCGTTGCTCCCTGAAACCTCTCTGAAGGGGCCAGGTTCTGGCACTGGTCCCTGGTAGGTCTGAACTCCATAGCTAATGTCCCGGTCTAACATAACATACATTAGCCCGATAAGCTCCAGGGAGCCTCCGGGGCTCACCCAGAAAATGGCGTTTCATTACATTCAACGCTGGTTTTTTTGGTCGTTTCTTCTGGCCTGTGGCCGCGTTTGGCGACTCCTCCCTCTTCAGGGAGTTTGGGGCTATGGGGCAGGCTTCTTCTCTTACGCTTCGTCAGGTTATCTTGGAGTGGGTGTGCTTGGGCATGATCGAAACAACCCCATCCTTCAGGTGGGTTTCCCGCCTGTTTGCAGTGCCGAAACGGGACTGTGCAGATATGAGGTTCATTCTGGACTTGTCCCGTCTGAACCCTTGGATTCCTTGCCCCCCTAACTTTTAAATGACCACTGTCTCTGGTCCGGCTTCTTTTGGAGCCTGGTGCCTGGATGGTGTCCCTGGACCTCAAGGACGCATTTTGGCATGTCCAAAATGAACGGAAATACGCGTACCCTGTACAGGTAGTCAACAAGTGGAAGAAATGTAAGGAAACACTTGGACCGCGTACAGGTGGTCAACAAGTAGAAAAAATGTAAGGAAACACGCATACCCTGTACCAGGTGGTCAACAAGGGTTTTAAAAGTATCAACACAAGACACAACATGAAACAATGGGTATAAATTGGATAGGTTTGGATTTGGGAAGGACCTAGAATGATACTGGTTCGGTAACGGGTTAGTGGCATAGTGGGGGTGGGATGCCTTGATTGTTTCAAACATGGGTTGGACATATATTCGAGTGAGATTGGATGGATATAAATAAGAGCTGCCTCGTATGGGCTAAGAGGCCTTCTGCAGTTACCCTTATTCTCATGTCCTTATGTTGTTAAGTGGAAGAAATGCAAGGAAACACTCGGACCCTGTACAGGTGTTCAACAAGGGGAAGAAATGTAAGGAAACACGCATACCCTGTACAGGTGGAATACATTAGGAGAAGAAGTTGTGGAAGCCACTTCCAGGCATAAGTTTAAAGACAATATTGACAAAGATTGTGATCATCAGAATACTTAAGCTATAATGTAAGGGGAATAATAAGGCTCATAGACCTGGCATATAGAGATAGACCTTACTTCGCATTGAGTCACTGATAAGTAAACACTTTACATATTTTCTGTAGATACATTTGGACACATTAAATGTGGTTGTCCTTGCTGCTGCCATAACTATCTTATCTTTCTGCCTGTGGATGCAGAATGAACTGTTTGTCAACATTATTTTCTTTGTAAATATAATTGTTCTCATCACTCATTATATTTTCTGCATGGGGTATGTAATAATTTGGGCATCTTTTGTATAATGTGACTTTTATTCTTCTAACACATTCCTCCCCCTCCCCAGATATATTAAGAATAAAAATAATTTGGTTTAGTCTGGCCAGCTGATGGATTCCATTTAGCAGTGGACTCTAAAAAAGGTAATGGATTCCATTTAGCAGAAAATTAATCTTTTCCTCATTTACAGAGCACGATACACTTGGTATAAAGTGGAAATGGCAGACCGTGAAGCAGTCTGGAGTTCGGCCGTCACCCAGGTGTGGGTTCTCTCTCTCGCTTTCGAGTGGGGACAAGGCTTTCCTGTTCGGCGGAGTGTATGACGAAGTGGATGAAGAAGAGGAGCTAGAGGGTGTTTTCTATAACGATATATACCAGCTGGACATAATGAAGCAAATGTGGCATGAAGGTAACTTGATTTTTAGTACTATGTCTCTCTCCCAGCAGAGGTTATTACCTTATTCTGTCTTTATCCAGGCTAGTCCCTTCAGTGGCTTCTCAGTGCAGGTTATTATGTACTGGCGCCCATGGACTGAGACCCCAAGTGTCTGTGTCTGTGACCATTTCGCTATCTTCCGGGAGCAGAGACCAGAATCCTTCCCCCCTCTCATAAGAGCTGGGCACTGACTTCACACAGTAGGAAAAGCCTGCAAAAAAAAAAAAAAAAAAAGTTACAAAAACTCAAAAACCACTCAAAGAGAAGCAATGACCCCCACCCTTCCCCTAACCAAAAAAAAAAAAATACTCTCAACACTACCATGCTGCTTCCCCACTCTCTCCTCCAGATGGCAGCGCTAATCAGTGAGGAAACACCAGCGAGCCGAACACCATTGCTCTCGTATATGGTGCACTATCCAAATCACAGCATCAGTCGATACCTTTGTTCTGGCACAGTGGCTTTTCCATTGGTTTTACAGTCCAGTGTTGGAGTGTTGTGCATTTTTAACTTGAGACAGCGGCTATGGAAAAAGGGTCATGCCCGCCTATGTTCAAAAAAATAAATCCAACAAATAACTTTTCATTATAGAATTATTTTCTTGTGTGGAGAATGTAAGAAAAACGTGAAAATAAGTGAATATTTATAGTTTCACTGGGTGGAGGAGCTCTGCAAGGCTGTGTCTGGCACTTGTCAACTCCTGATGCTCACCTGCTGACGCTTCCAGTTTTATCCTCTGATGTTTCACTGTTTTATTACTTGTTTTTCTTTATTTCTGTGGGGAGCCCCTATGGCTCCCTGGAGCTATCAGGCCAGTGTGTGATATGTTAGACCGAGACATTGGCTATGGAGTTTGACCTACCAGGGACCACAAACCAGAACTTCGCCCCTTCAGATAGGTTTCAGGGAGCAATGGCCCCTGGAAAAAACCCTTGTGGTTTGGGGGTTTTCCTTATCTGCCATCGACCAGGATTAGGCACCCAGAAAGGTAGGAATAACAAAACGAATCCCACATGGTAAGAAACTAACAACTAAAAACTGAAAAGGAAGACAGAAATCCCTCCAATCCCAAGGAAATTCCAATTCCTCCAAGGAGTGCCGGACCAACCGGGCTGTGGTGGGTATGTGGGCCTGCGAGCCACTCCAAGCAACAGCCTAGTGGACCAAACTCTCACAAGTCAAGCCTGGCCTCAGGCCGGACTTGGGGAGTAGAAGAACTCTCAGAACCCCATCAACCAGGTTAATCAACCAGGAAACAAGCAAACAAGTAAACATCACACTCAACTGCCACGGCGCTCGTCCGCGCAGCCCTCCTCTCCTCGGGATGGGAAGGGGGGAGCCCTGGACCTTCCCACGCCGGCTACTCAGGGCGTCAGTTCGCAAGCTAATGCCACCCAGGATAGACGTTTCTCTGGCCTCAGATTCCTCAGTGGTGTTTGCCAGTGTGGCGTTCTCTGCTGTATTATTGTGGTGTGTGGTGGCCAGGAGTTATTCATCAGTACCAGGGCTGCATGCACTTAGGGGCTTCCTTCCCTTAGCACCCTGTGAGTACTGACCTTGCATGTTTAGGGTTCTTTTCCTTGGGGTGTTTGGGAACCATTTCCGTAGAGGCTGACAAGCATTTACTTCGCCCTTGGGGCCAGCTGTGGTTTTGGGGCTCTTGTTTGGCCTTGGGTAGGAAGTGGTATTGTGCTGGTCGGAGCATCAAGGTGTTGTGCAGCCTGCCTCCCTAAGTTGCGGCCAGTTCCTGTTTCCTTTGCGGATGCTGAACTTTTGTTGTTGTGTTGATTTAGAGGCGACAACGATCATGGGATCGGATGCGCCCCGGCTGCCTAATACCGGGAAATAGCGGAGGGATGGGGTCCCCTGTAGTCTCTTCAGGCCATAGACCCTACAATCTCCTCAGGCCACATATTTTACTGTCTCTTCAGGCCACGAACATGACGGATGAAGCGGAAGGTATGGCGAAGGATGTCATGACGGACGTCTTCATCTCTCGCACCTTCCCCGTCAAGGAGAACGGGAACTGTGAGGCGAGGAATATTCAGCCTATGAACGTCACTCTGTAGTCTAATGCAAGCACTATAAAATTGAGGGCAGTGAAGAAGGTGTTCAACTGTATCCTCCTGGGTCGGACACCACTGGCAGTATGGGGAATCTACCAGTCGTAGACGATGGAGATGTGCAGCCAGGCAGATGTGCCCAATCCGGAGACGAGTGATGGCAGTGTCGAGGAGTCAAGAATGATGACGAGTCCATAGACGCGGGGAGGAGCCCTCCCGGAGACCCACCAGAGAGGAGGCCTTGAGTGCTGGCTCCATCATTGCCTCCCAACTCGCGAGGCAAGCCGCCCGGAGTTGCGGGAGAATTTCGGAAAGGTCCAGAGGCACATTTGTAGAGTCATGGAGAGCATGCGCCATCCATGCTGCTGCGTCGGCCACCTCATTGCCATTAATACCGACATGTGATGGAACCCATTGGAGATAGATCGACCAACCCGAAGTACCAGAGTATGACAGCAGTTCTCCACGGATCTGTGACACAGTATGACGATGGACTCGTGGACGCCGAGATGATTTCAGATGTAGGGGTGTAACTTAGTCTACGTAGAAAACGACCAGAGAGGGCCCTGAAACTTGTCGAAGTCTAGTATCCACTCAATTTAACGGCCTATATGGGGCTGTACCCTGGTCGTTATTTCCGTAGCTCCAGTATTTCCGAAATTAAGTGTCGGTAATTTTTCAAGTAACATTCAGGTAAGATATATTTTATACAGACAGCCACTGGGTCCACCACTCTAGTGCTTTCTACACTGTGACGTCACAGATTCATGGCACATTGTTTTGATTTGTCATGAGGCTGGAGTATTCATTCCGTGACTTTGTTGGACATATCTGCACAATCAAGAAACATCCGTGCACCATGTCGGCTCCAAATGCACTCAGTGATGGCTGACTGGTGGGTGGATGGGCAGGCAGGCAGGCAGGCAGGCAGGAAGAGGCTGGGAGGTATGCAGGGAGGAAGGCAGAGCTTGGGAGGGAGGCAGACAGAGGCTGGGTGGTAGACAGGGAGAGAGGCAGGCAGGCAGAGCTTGGGAGGGAGGGAGGCAGGCAGGCAGAAGCAGGGAGGGAGGCAGGCAGGCAGGCAGGCAGAGGCTGGGTGGTAGGCACGGAGGGAGAGGCAAGGAGGGAGGCAGGCAGGCAGAGGCTGGGTGGTAGGCAGGGAGGGAGGGAGTGGATGGAGATGGATGGTAGGATGGAGATGGATGGTAGGATGGAGATGGATTGATGGATTGATGGATGGATGGAGCTATGGTTGTTGAGGTGAAGCAGAGTGAGCGTGTGTATGGGAAGTTTGCGGGGGTGGTGGGGGGAAGGGATCTCAGGCCACATATTTTACTGTCTCTTCAGGCCACGGCTGAAGAGACATCTGGCTCGCAATCAGATGTTTGGATGGAAGGAAGGAGGGAGGGAGGGAGGAAGGAAGGAAGGAAGGAAGGGAAGGAGGGAAGAAGGGATGGAGGGAAGGAGGGATGGAGGGGAGGGAGAGATGGAGGTAAGGAGGGAGAGAGGAAGGGATGGTTGAATGGAGGGAGGGAGCTGGGAAGGAGGGAGGGAGCTGGGAAGGAGGGAGGGAGGGAGGGAAGGAAGGAAGGATGGAGAGATTGAGGGAGGGAGGGAGGGAGGGAAAGAGGAAGGGATTGATGGAGGGAAGGAGGGAGGGAGGGAGGAAGGGATTGATGGAGGGAAGGAGGGATAGAGGGGAGGGAGTTGTACTCTTCAAGTCACTTGTGTTGTCCCGTCTTGAGTACTGCTCAGTACTCACTTCCCCCTTCAGAGCAGGAGAGATTGCTGAAATAGAGGGAATACAGAGAACATATATGGCACGCATAGACACGATAAAGCACCTAAATTATTGGGATCGTCTCAAAGCCTTCCAAATGTACTCACTAGAAAGAAGACGAGAGAGATATCAAATAATATACACCTGGAAGATACTGGAGGGCCAAGTACCAAATCTACACAGTAAAATAACAACGTACTGGAGTGAACGATATGGAAGAAAATGCAGAATAGAACCAGTGAAGAGCAGAGGTGCCATAGGCACAATCAGAGAACACACTGTATAAACATCAGAGGTCCACGGTTGTTCAACACCCTCCCAGCAAGCATAAGAAATATTGCCGGAACAACCGTGGACATCTTCAAGAGGAAACTAGATTTATTCCTCCAAGGAGTGCCGGACCAACCGGGCTGTGGTGGGTATGTGGGCCTGTGGGCCACTCCAAGCAACAGCCTGGTGGACCAAACTCTCACAAGTCAAGCCTGGCCTCGGGCTGGGCTTGGGGAGTAGAAGAACTCCCAGAACCTCATCAACCAGGTATCAACCAGGAGAGATGGAGGGAGGAAGGGATGGAGGGAGGGAGGGATGGAGGAAGGGAAGGAGGGACGAAGGGATGGAGGGGAGGGATGGCGGGAGGGAGGGAGCTGGGGGAGGGAGGGAAGAAGAGAGGGAGGGAGGGATGGAGCAATGGATGTTGAGGTGAAGCAGAGACAGCGTGTGTAAGGGAAGTATAGGGGGGGGTGGCGGGTGGGGGGGGTGTGTCGGTGGTGGGGAAGGGAAGCGATAAGCCTAACACTTGACCCAGTTAACCAGATGTTTCTTAATTAAATTCTGGATGTACATCATATATATTTTTGCTTACAGATTTTGTTTACTAATATTATTAGGATAATAAAAAGTTATAAAATATGGATATTCTCCAGGCTGTCTCTGGCTGGCTGGCAGTCTACTGAGCCATTTTCCAGAAGGGTCTTGGTGGGGGGTGAGGCAGAAAGTGAGGGTGTGGGGGAGAGGTTCAGTGAGGGTGAGGGAGAGGATGAAAGGGGTAGGCGGCATGCTTGCCATGTGAGGACCCTCTGATGCCAAGACGAACCCAATACCGACCTTCGGTAATATCGACCGCTAGACCG